GCGCATGATGCGCCACCGCCCCGAGGCACCGGTGGACATGGTCAAGGCGTGGTTACCCAAGGAGTACACCAGGGACGAGGGGTCGTGCAGGTTATCCAAGGAGCCCGCCAGGGACTAAGGGTCGTGCAAGCGCGTCCCGACCAGGGGCTCGACATTCGCACAAACCTATGTCAGCGACCGGCAGTTACGGTCCGGAGGCCGAAGCAGCCAGCCGGCCTTGCCGCGTGCGTCTGCCAGCTGTTACGGTCCGGGTGTCGAAGCAGCCAGCCGGCCCCGCCGCGTGCGTCTGCCGGCTGTCACGCTCGCCGTCGTACAGGACCGGCTGCTACATCTGCTTCGGGCGCGGCAGTATACTTCCCAACTTTGAATATGCCTGCTAAGAGGAGAGTTGCCGAACAGAACTTGGCGTGTAAACAACGCATAAAACGTGCGAATTCCATGTCATGACGTAAGTAACATTAACATAAACTTGCTTGCATTTGGGAGACTCAGCGAACAGTTGTTACAGTTGTAAGGGTCAAACATTTTTACGATGCCATACACTTTGATATGTACCCGTATCGAACTATAGCTGTAAAAAACTCGTGCACCGCGCAGATTTGGCCCTCTTTTGGGTTTCTTTAGAAATTGTCATCGAGAAAACTTCGTACGCTGTGTGCCGATTTAAAATAACAAGTGTTCTATCAAGAATGCCAGTCATCACTTTTCGTTCCCATCTCACATCCTGTGATGTGGAATGCTGATCCCGTGGTGAAGATATCGCAAGACATCGCATTTCTAAACAAACCAGAATGTGAAAAACTGATTCAGCTGGCAGCACCTGAATAATGCCAACTTTATGCCGTTAGTGGTAACTCAGGGTCTGTTTCAGCAAAGTTAGTTAACATTCAGATATTCACAGTCATGCTGTCAATGTTTCAGGCTATAGCCCAGGCTTACAGCAAAAATCCTTTAAGCGCCACTGCAGAATCAACGCTTTTGCTCCAAATACGAGCCCTGTCGACGTTACTCACAACACAGAACAACTTTTACGAAGATGTACGCTCTCGCAATCGATACAATTCTCAAAACTAAGGTGCTGCATTTCCTTCTAAGGATAGGTGTGAAAGCCGTGCATTGGCCAGTGTGTCTTCGTAATTCGAACTTCATTGATCATGGAGCTGACTGTGAGCCAGGGTGATATTTATAGCTCATTCGACCCTGCTCCGGCACGTTTAGCTTCAGAATCACGGAAACGCTAATTTAATAACACCATCAATTTTGAGGTGGAAGAGGTTTAACCCTATTTAAAGTTCCGCCACGGACGAATTATGTGCTATGTTCAGATCATGGCTTCTCCCTGAGACGCCTTGTCATGCTATGGTGCCACGCTTGTGATGGTGACAGACCGCCCTCATTTCTTACGGTTGTTTTCTTAAGGGCTGTGGACACAGACAGTTTCGGAACCCAGTGTTGTTTGGCACAACTAACGGGTATCTTTCATGCCCGACTGACGGGTAATTGTCATGTGGCGCTGACGGGTAGCTGTCATGTGGCGCTGACGGGTAGCTGTCATGTGGCGCTGACGGGTAACTGTCATGTGGCGCTGACGGGTAACTGTCATGTGGCGCTGACGGGTAACTGCCATCGTGTTCTTGTTGTTGGGACTTCGGATTGCGCTAAGAGCTTGGTCGTCGCCTGCTGGTTTGGTGGGCCATTATTGGCGGTCTGGTGTGGTTCTTCAACCAGTGCCACGGTCAGTCCAGTGAATAGCGAGTCGTTTTTCATGGATGCTTATCAGATGACTGAGGATGTCAACCCTGTAGCTGATAAGGGCCCGAATGTCAGGGCCTCAATTGTTGAACGGATACGGGGTGCGACCATTTTTACCCGCGATAGCAAGCATGTCATCCGGATTTGTTCGAAATCGATGTGAGTTTTGCACCTGTCATGGCCATGCTTTGCATATTTGGATGATTCCTCTCGTGCATGTATATATATATATATATATATATATATATATGCATATATATATATATATATATATATATATATATATATGCATTGTGTTTAGGGCTCCTGCGCGCCCATGCCATCTGTTATGTTTTCTCTGCGGGCATCGCGGTCACTATTTCAGCCCGCGTGATGCTCGGGTGCCTGCCGTGTCCCGCAGCATCCGCCTCCCGCTTCGGGGCGTGTCTCGCCAGACCACGCCCTGCGCGCGCTCCGTGCCGGCAGACGGGGCGTGGTTCCGCTCGTGACCCCTGTATCACGCGCCGGTTAATTTGAAACGCCCCCGGGCACCGCCGCTGGGGCGGGGGAGGGGGAGGGGAGAGGCGGCGGGGCGCGCCCTGCTCGCGTGACCAGGTCCCGTAGGACATTCCGGGCCTTATTTAATCTGCTGCGCATCCCGGGCGCACGCGAGCGGTCCGGCGGGCGGGCGTGCCTGGTACGGCGGCACGCCACCCGCGTCCGACCCCGCCCTGTCCCTCTGGGACGGCCGCCCGTCAGGCCGCGTCGCCGAGCGCGTCGCGACCGACACGGCGCGCGCTGGCCAGTGTCGGCTGACGGCTGTGAGCTGCTCGGCCGGCGGCGCGCTGGACGCCCCGGTCGGCCCCGGCCGCTGGTCTGCGCCGCTCGACGGCGGGGGTGGCAGCGCCGCTCGCAGGAGGCCAGGCGTGGTCTGGCGATGCCGCGCCGTCTGGCGGCACCAGAGGCGGCGGGAGGAGCCGGCCCGGAGCCGCTGCCGACAGCTGGCTCGTCGGCGGTTACGTCCGCGGTGGTGGCCGGACCGGGCACTACCCCACCGCCCTCACGGCCTCAGGCTGCGGCCTGACCCGGCGCTGGGGGCGTGGCAGCGGGCGAGGCAGGTGTCGGTTAGCCACACCCCCTCAACACGCTCCATCTGACCTATAGGTCACCGTCAAGCGTCCGGACCCGTGGCGATGGCCAGTCTGGGGAGAGAATCCCTCCCCACCACGGACGGCCTGTGTCCGTTCCGTCGGCCCGCTGTTGCCGTGCTTGCCTGCCGTGCGGGCCAGCGCTCGTCCGTGTTGGTCTGCACACGGCCGTGCGCGCCCAGCCTGCTGACACGTTAGCGACCTGATGCGGCCACGTCCGCGTCAGCCGCCCGCTCTGGGTCAGCTGTCGGCCTGTAATGACCGGCTTATTAACTTGCGATTCACTGGTGGCCGCCGGTCAGCTGAGGTGCGGTCCGCTAACGATGCTCTTCTGCTGACATTCGCCGCCGACATTCTGTATGGTGACATTCGCCGCTGACATTCTGTGTGCTGACATTCTGGGCTGCAGGCTGCGCCGCCATTTGGCCGCGATTGCGTATGTGATCGCTCGGATGTGCTGTGCTGTGACTGTTTTTGCTCGGTTGGCATTTGGCGCATGCTCGCTGTCACATCAGTAACCTCGGCAGGCTGAATATTTCATACCATCGCAAAGACCAGTGCTTTTTAACGTACCGTGAAAAGTGTGTGGCGAGTGGCGCAGCTTCGTTCCGTCACAGAACCACTGTGTTTTATAACACAATCACCTTTTTCGGTCCAACCCGACATTGATTGCAGTTGGGGTCGTTTGTTGAGGGATATTCCCCCCCCCCCCTCACCATTTGCAGCCATCGACTACCTATCCTACTAAACGCCGCATGAAGTACATTTGACGCTTATTTTCGGCATTTGAGAGGCCCATTGATGCATTTACGGATAATTCGATTCGCTCTAATCTATTTTGGACCTAGTGTGCAGATGGGGTAGTGGTTATGCGACGCGTTGGGGAAACCAGAGGTTCGTGGTTCGTTTTTCCGTGGTCTTTCTACCAGAGTGAGAGGCAAGCGACGCTTAATAGCCTTGGCAATGGGGTGTGGCGCCAAACACCAATGACGACAGAGTTCCGCACCGGTGCTGCCAAACCATCCGCACCAGTGCTGCCAAACCACACCTTGCGTTTCTGCAAAGGTAAGGCGCGTTTTTTGAGCAGCTTAACAAAATCTACGCTTATCCATCATCTTGCAATGGTATGCACATGGTTGTCCGGTGCTCGCTGCTTTTGCCAGTTGAAATGCTCTTTTCTGCCCCTGCGTACTTGACATTTTACGACATGCTCCGTTTCGAGGTGGATTTAACCCGGCACTTCAATGCTTAAACAAGCCATCAAGTCTGGCCATTTTTGCCAGTCGCGTGGGGCGGGCTGGTGATTTATTCAGGCCGATGTTACGCCCCATGCGTGGTCACGCCAGCCTGTGCCTCTCTGTTATGTATGGACAGAAGGAGCTCTACTCGGCCATCATCAGACGAGAGAATTAATGCGCAAATTATGCAGGAGGCGCCGATGAATAAGCCAGCCGGCGTGGGCGAGCTGCCGCCGGTGTGGAGGGGCTGCTCCTGCAGACGGAGCCATGCGCGTCGGATCGGGCCGATTGCCTGCCGACTCGGACCGATCGCGCTCGCGGACGACTCGAATGGACCGCGAGATCGGGAGTCGTCCCCGCCGCGCGGGGGGCGTCCGGCCTGGCGACAGAGCCACGTGCGCCGGATCGGGCCGATTGCCCGCCGACTCGGACCGATCGTGCCCGCGGACGACTCGGATGGACCGTGAGATCGAGAGTCGTCCCCTCTGCGGGGGGGGGGGGGGCGTCCGGCCGCCCGCCAGCCCGTCCCGGCAGGTGTTGCGATGGCGGGTCCGGCCAGTTGGGCTGCCCTCGGAGACGCCAGCTGGCAGCGCACCAGCGCGTCATCCGCTTAGCACAAATGTGATTGGTTGCACCTTAGCGTATGTTAATAGCAGTGTCATTTTCTCGCAAAGCTGTTCGTCTCCCAGGTTAACGTGGCGCTTTGTTCAGCATGCTCAGGTACTGACAAAGTAGGCTTCTTTACAGGTCGCATGGCTCGCCGTTTTTCATTAATTTTCGCACTTACTGCTGAAAGAGCGGCTATTTCGAGTGTGACGGAGATCCCCTGTTCTTTGAACGCGGGCTTGCCGCCTTGCGCTGAACCGCACTGGCCCTGTTGCAGGCGAAGCTGGAGACAAAGGCCCTGAAGGCCAAGCGTCCGGGCTTCACCGACGAAAGATACACGGAGACGTCGTACTGGTTCGAGAACGGTAAGTGCGGGCCCAAGTTATGCCGCTCCTCCGATGCTGAGTCGCGAGATGTCTGGGTGCGCTCCAGGAACGCTTCACACAAGTTTCTGACATTTGGAAATGGCACCGTGTGCAGATTTTGCCGTTCGGAAGGTGAAACTTCGTCGAAACGACTTCCGACATTTCTATGCCGCGGGCAACTTTAGATTTAGACTCCCAGAATGGCTATCTCAGACATGAATGCACGCGCGGTGCTCCGGCGCCTGGAGTCTCTGTGCGCTGTTGTATTTAGTCGGCAGCAGTGAGACCGTGTTGGCTTGACGGGCCAGCTGATTGCTTTTTACAATATTCTCACACTTGACGGCGGCCTGCCTTCATCTGTTCAGCCATGCATGTTCAATTTAGGCGGCAGCGAAATTGGCTCGGCCTGCACCTCTGCGACGGCGCGCGATGAGCTTCCGGTGCTTAAAAAATAGCACCGAGCGGATGACTAAAGAACCGATTATGTGCACGTGGAAATGGCCGCTAGTCGATATAAAGCTGAATAGTGTCAAAGCTCTAAATAGGCTTGGAAAATCGGTCTTCTGCACATACAGAACGGCACACCATCCTTTTTTGAGGTCTTTTTTCCACACAAGTTTGGTTTGTTTTAGGTCGTCCATATCGGGTCTTCTGATGCGCAAGTTATCACTTGGAATATCGGTTCAGTGTAAACGTGAAGGGCGGTTGCTTATTGTGGCTAGACTTACATGTTTTCGAGGCCATTTGTGGAGATTGGCGTCAGGAATATACCGTTAGTATGTTTGCTTTTTTTTGCCAAATGGTGAAGCTTCCAACGTTGCAATTGTAGCTCAAATGCCGTCTTTTCTTCGCATGCTAATACAACCATGTTTGTACCACATTACCATTCAGCATGACATACGTGTTGTATAATTCTATATTTTTGTTATCACCATTTCTGCCAATTCATGTATGACACGGACCTTCTCTTGTGTGAACCTGACCGTAGATGCTGCTCAATTACCACTATCGCCCGTTCATTTCTTAACACTGACATTTTCTTAGATGAACAAGGAAGGAAGTCAGCTTTACGATCCTCGAAATTATCCCCCTTTGTCATTTGGCTGCGAATAGATGCCAAGTCGTAAAGATTGCGCCTGTGTTATTGCCTGCGAACGCCACCGTGACCTCGGAGGGGAGGGGAGGGGGGTGGGCAACGGGAGGTGGCTCCCGATCTGGGCGGCAGGGTCTGCCACAGTGGGCCGAACGAGGCCGCGGGCCGGGGGGGGGGGGGGCATGTGACCTCCTCCCCTGCCTTACACAGAGGGCACGGACTGGAGAGGGGAATTGGCGCAATAATAGGGCGCTCTTGAACTGCTGCTGGCTAGGCCTTGGTTAGGTCGCCCGTGCTAAGGGCGTACGTGAGGTATGCAAAGCATCGCGCGTTCATTGCTTCATGTACTTACTGTTTGCCGCTTCGTAGTCAGACGGGATTGAGTGATGTCGTCTCAACCAGGTAAGCTGGTTGACATTGATTTGATACTTGGTTTGCAGTTGACATTTTTTGTATGACATCACGAGGCGTCTGAATGACTGCGATGGCAAGGAAGAAGGCTGCGGCAGTAATAATTATTCAGCTCTTGTTCTCATAGATGGTGTTATTATTTACACTTGTACCACTTGTGTAAACAATAGCAGCATTGCCGGGGACAATGGCCTGAATAATTGTCTATCTGTGCGAACACCTCGTCCCGGACATTCCGCAGGAGCAGAAAGCTGCAGCTCGGTGTCTGGCGATATTTCGGTTGTTTTGTTCCAAGCTGAAAGGATGTGTCGTGTGTTTCTCCTGGAATTGGTCTTAATATGACATGAAGTGTGTTAAGTCGCTATCTTGGGCGCTTGAAAGGCCTGGTGCACGGGCGACGTCCGAGCGCGGTGCTGCGGCGTTCCGAACCGTCACCTAATCGCTGGCGTGCCGTGGCTTCTGCAAAGGGTTTGATCTGCGTAAAAGCGCGGGTGCGTTTGATGTTTGTGCTCTGTGGCTCGGAGCGGCCCGCCAGAGCGTCCACAGGAGCCGGCTGGCCGGTGATTTCGCCGCTGCACCTCCTTGGCCAGGGCCTGAGACGAGCTCGCGCAGCGCCGTTACGCTGCCGGCGCGATGACGTCCGGCTTACAGACTCTGCGGTGGACGTCACAGAGGCTGCCGAGGTTTGGAAGGCCTCTGTGTGCCGGCTCGCAGCGGCTCGGGTGCGCAGGACGCAGGCTTGGTCTCTCTGTCCGTCTTTCATCTGGCAGTGAGCTACAGCCGGTTGCTCGTAGCGTGAACTCCGTGTCCGAACGTGACCAGGCGGCTATTCCCATCACCCTGGAGTCGACCTGGACGGACGCTGGCTGGAGGAGGAGGCGCAGGTGGGCATGTGCTGAAATCGCGGGAAGAATTCAAGAGCTGCCGTCATGCGCCCCGCTGGCGCCGTCCTTGCTGAACAAAGATCATGGAATTGCGCGTTTTGAACAACAGCACGTCCCGACGAACAACCCTGGTACGGCGCCAAGAACCACCTACCCGGTTGATCCTTGCGCTCGATTGCCATACGCCTCAACGGCGCGTGACGAGACGGCCGTAGCGTCTCCCGCTCCGCTGGCGGCGGCCGTGCCCTGACGGCAGCCGCCATCTGTATGCATGCTCGCCGCTTAATAGCCGTTCACGTCGTCTGCCGGTGCCGGTTTAGTGGCGCGCCTGGGGAAGGGGGGGGGGGGGGGGTGGCGAGTGCGACGTCTGATATCAGCAGGCTGGGCCTCGATGCTGTCCCCCCCCCCCCCCTACTCTTCCGGCACGCTCGTCTTGGTTTGCCCTGATGGCGGCGCAAGAAGGCGAGGTACGAGGATGTTAGAGAAGTTACGGTGGCCGGCAGTGACGTCGTGTTTCGCACATTTGACGCCATTGTTGGCGGATGTCTGACGTCAGTGCTGGCGGGTGTCTAATGCGGGCACGTGACGTCGATTGTCAGATGTATATGACATTTTGTGCTGCCTCTCGACCTCGTTCAGCTCCCGACATTGACATTTCAGATAAATTCATATTGTTGCAGTTCTGTAGAACTACATCTGTGCTGATCTCATGCAAATGCACGTGTGCCCGTTCCGGGTCGGTTGCCAGAGTACTTTCCTGAAAGCGACTGCTCGCGGCTAAATCGCCCCGATTTCTCCACAGCGAGGCTGATTGCATTCAGTTCGCAGCCCGGCCCGCTTCCCGTTTTCATATTCCTACCACCGAGCTGCAGGCGGCAGGGTGACCCCGCAGTCAGCTGGATGCAAGTCACCGCACGTGCCCGTCTCGCCCCGAGCACAGACTCCGCCCGCTGTCTGGTGTCGGGCGCGTCCGTACGTGCCGCACCCGTCCGCCGCGGCGCGCCGGAGCACGTGTTGCGTGCGGGGCGGCGCGGGCTGGCGCACGCAGGTCTGGCGCGCCGCCGGCGCCGGCCGCTGACGCTAATTAGGGCCGACCGCCGGCACGGGCTCCTGCTCGGCCGGTGGTGCGCTCGGCAAGACCGGATCGGTGGGAATCTCCGGCGAGGCGGAGGTCGCTGCTGACCGGTCATGTTACCGAGCGCTAATGGGCAGGGAGGGGCCCATTGGGGCGGGGGGCGCAGACTGTGCGGAGAGACGAGAAGTGGGGGCAGCAGGCGGCGCGGGCGGTGGCGCCGCGGGCTGGGGCTCGTGTAGGGACCTCCCGCAGCTCGCGGAGGGAACTCTCGCCGCACGGGGAGCAGTGACGGCGGAGATGCGTGTCTCAGAGAGGCATTGGGTGAACTACTTGGAGGTCCCAAATGTGAAATTCCTTTTCGTGCTAAAGAGGGTGTCCCTCCTTCGAGGCATAGTTGAAAAGCATACTCTGGTGAAAACTCAGGACCATTTAATGTGATAATAGCACTGGGTAGTGGCACTGCAGCACTACTAAAATATCATAAGGATATATTTAAGTCATCTTCGAGTCCAAACTACGCTGTCAACGCCTTGTAACAGCCTACGCTTCTTCCTTCCGTGAAAGCCCCAGAGTGTATATAGCTCGAGTACGCGACATCTGCAGTTGTCGCGACCGCGGTACATGATAGCTGCCGTCGTCATGACGACGGTAGAATCTCCTGAGGGCCGTTGTCAGTTGTAACGGGTAAGAGGGACCACTTTTGGAGCTGTTTTCAACCGCTTATTGCGGGCCTGTCGGCTTAAAAATGACACCTCTTCCGGAATAAGACACGTGTGTCATGACAGCATGACAGCAATAACGTGACAGTGCGTCCATCGACTCCAATTGTTCGCGTAACATAATAGCCCACCTTGAAATTTGTCATCAACTTTGATTAGGACGTTATATAACGGCGCGTTATGGACGTTATATAACTGCGCAGCCGAACCGCCCAAAAGGCCCAATTTCTTTTCCCGCCGTAACGGTCCTGTAATTTTGACGCCCCCTTTCTTTCCTGCGCTGCGATGTTGTGTCACTGCTTGGTTTCGCGGTCCGTTGCAATCACACTTGTCGCTGTTTTCGCTGCGATCCCTCTGTGTTTTCTTCGTTGTATTGTGCGCTCCTAGGTTTTGACAGCTTCTGACTTTCTCAGTACTCTTGTCGGATGCATTTTCCGCCGTGCCAGCACGGAAAGGCTTTCTGGTATCTCCACCTGAAAATTATGTCGGATCTTCCCCTCGCCATGCGTACATGGCGCGGACGGTGGGCATGAATTGCGTTTGCCAATGCGTTTTTTAATTCACCCTATTGCCTTGAAACCAGAGCGGCAAACAACAGCTTACGAACCGCTGGCTCATCGTGTCATTAAACGTGGCCGCGACTGCATCGGAGTCCCCGATGCAGCGCGCCCAGCTAGCGCCCGACCAGCCCGCCAGCGCCGGTAATGGCCTCACGTTCCTCCGAAATCGCCGGCCGGCGTGCGTCATCAGCGCGTGCCGGGCCAATGGATGGGATGGCGCCCACGGCGCGGGCGGCGCTGGCGGTCCTGAGGCCGTCG